AAGAACATTACACGTTGGCTCGAAGATATGAATTTTATGTTCTTGCCACTCGAACATAAAATTCATATCTTCTCGCCACCGTGTAATATCCTCTATCTAATATTCCTTCTTGACGGAGTCAGTCTAAATCAGGATATGATATCCGCACGCAACTTGAGAATATCCTAGAGATTTACGAATATTTGAAGCTGGATTAAACCTCCTTGAGGTTGGTTATCAAGTTTTATGTACACTATAACTAAACTGTGGTTAAAGGTCAGCATTAGTCTCTTTAAGGAAGAGAGTATACCTTTAAAAAACGTTCAGGTAGCGTAAAGCCGTCTGAATGAGAAATTTACGACAGCATCGCGTCAGCTTTACACAGAAGTAAAGTTATGTTTTTATGTTGCGGCCACCTACATTAGACTTGCTGTTGTTGCTGGCGGGCTTAACGCCAGTTTTCATTGGCGACGCATTGGCGCGGGTGTTGTAATTTAACCTGTTGTTCCTGTTAGACGGCTTAACTTCAGTGTTCTTCAGCGAAGCATTGCCATTGGCGCTGTAATTTAACTTGCTGTTCTTGTTAGAGGGCTTACCTTCAGTCTTCTTTAGCGGGGCACTGGCGCTGGTGCTGCCATTTAACTTATTGTTGCGGCTAGAAGGCTTAACTTCTGTCTTCTTTAGCAAGGCATTGCCGCCGGTACTGTCATTTAACTTGCTGTTCTTGTTAGACGGTTTGACTTCAGTCTTTTTTGGCAAGGCATTGGCGTTTGCACCTTCCTCTAGCTTGCTGTTCCTGTGTATGTTAGGGGGCTTGACTTCAATCTTGTTTATCGAGGCATTACCACCTGTACGATCATCTACCTTGTTGTTCGTGTTAGACGGCTTAACTTCAATTTTCTTTAGTGAGGCATTGGCGCTTGCACTGCTATTTATCCCAGAGCCATCTGTAATATCTGGGAAAATCACATGAATCTTCCTTTTGAAGCGGGCTCTGATCTGCAAAATCGTTTTAGACTGTATAAATGAATTACAAGACAATTTACGGAAACCTGCGCCAGTAAAGACGAAACCTGTAGAAAACGCGTCTAGAAAACAGAGCGAACGCGCTCTGGATGAATGAAAGCCCGAAGCCACAAAAAAGGTAAAAAACAACAAACAAAAACAAAAAATTAAAAAACACCCTCGTTATTACGTAAATTTCGTAAGCGTGCAAACGGCTCCAAAACAGTCATGTGTTTCTCGTTCCCAGTATTCAATCGAAGAGCTCTTTGAAACGGCAGCCAAAACTACAGTTTTGTTTGATTTTGAAGAAACTTTATTATCCCTTGCAACTGTTTTCGGTTGAGATGCATGACAACTGCTGGGCCATGTTCACCCTTTTAGATGCCTTTAGCTTGATTTCCAGTTCTACCGGGCCGGGAAGATATAGTTTAAATATTTAACTGCTTAAATTTTTCTTACCTCGGTGTTTCTCACGCAGTGAAGGAAAAAAATCAGGAAACCCTGTTTGGTAAATGACAAAAATGATTACTAGAGCCATAGTTAATAGGGGGAAATGGTTAGGGAGGCCAGTAAAAATCAAAGAAGCCAGTAAACAGGCTAAGATGTATGTTGGAAGGCAATTGACCCTGCATGCATATCTTTTGTTTTATGCTTATGGATTGTATCTTGCCAGGTTTTTTGCAGGGTCAGTCCCCAAAATAGCAAACAAAAACATACAACAAAGAACTTTGCCAGGTTTCGTAACCATTTACTTCTATCTGCGCTAGAGCAAAACAGAGAGCTGTGGTTAACTATTACCTGAGTTGTGTTGAAGATCGTGGAAATGTAGGCGAATGCTTTATGAAACTGTGACAGAAGACCAAACAACCACGTAAGCCCCAACAATGGAACCAATAACAAGCAAGCTCTAATACCAAGTCTGCAAATAAAGATAGAGAAAGTGCATTTATTGAAGTAATTTACGGTCTGACAGGTACGCGTACGACCCACTGAACAATAGTGAATTTTTGTTTTTGATGCTGGTATAATGACTGTTGCTTGTGATCATTACACATGCGTAAGTCCCCGGGATTTCCCAGTCCATACTGAATATGATTTAGTTTGAAAACGGAGTCTGTGTGTCAATTTTGGAGAGCGTTTTCGATCATTCAGTCAACGCCAGAGTATTGGGAACGGAAATCTAAAAAGTCTCGCCCATATTCAGTGAGACTACATGAGGCTAGCAATCTATTGTAACTTTAAAACTTAGGCTGCTACCTCATCTGTTCCGTCTTGCTATCTTTTGCTTGTTGCATTCTTGTCATCTCCTTAACAACTCGAACGAGGATCAGCACGTTCAACTTGAAAAAAGGAGGACAAACAATAATCACATTTTTATATTTTGCCAATTCAATCATCGTCATCATCCTTGTCCTCCTCGTCGCTATCATCATCATCATCATTACTGTTGTCATCATGAAATAATAACATCTCGAATCCCATCCACCTGAAAATAATTTCTCTTTGTTTTGTGTTGTGCCCCGTGTCTCTACTAGGGCTAACTCTCAGAGGGAGAGTCATCGTTCTCTATTTTAGCAGTGAAAATGACTAGAGTTAATTGTCTGATATCCAGCTTCTATAACATTGGCATTGGGTGGCCTAAAGCAGTGTGCTATTGTGAGCTTTGTAATAGCCTTTTGATCCACGAAGTATAATTCCAAGCAACTCATTTCTGTATATAAATTACCTAAAAGTTAACGCACTCATTGCTCATGAATCATCGGGATTCACCTGCGCGAGTTCATTAACAATGAACGAGAAATTTCAGTACCGCACGAGGCTTTGCCGAGTGCGGTATTGAAAATTTTGAGTTCATTGTCAGTGAATGAGTACAGGTAAATCCCGATAATTCACGAGCAATGAGTGTGTTAACATTTTTATTATTCAAATTGAATACACTGCACAAAGAACACTGCATTGAAACCACTATATTTGAGTCAGCCGAAGCCATGGTGTAATGAAAATGGTGTGTTGAATTTACACTACGGCTAATACACCACGATAATGACGTCAAGGTGATTGTTTCGTCACAAACCAGTATCGCGTGGTACAAATCAGCCAATCAGAAAATCGGAACTCGTACAGTGTATGAAAGTTGAATAATAAAAAGTTTTAGACAGTGGGGCACATCAGTAAGATTGTTATGTCGTATTAATTAAACGCCATACTTATATGAAATGGACTTGACTTACCAGTTCAATCAGCACAACAAACACGATAAATATCCAGATCAGATTGTTAGCAGAAGACATCCAGCAGCTTGAATAAATAGAACAAAACAGAGCTTTTAACGCCATTGTTCAAACCATTGTCTAGTTGTATTAGTCAAATGACCAACTGTACCTAAGTGCGAAGGGCACCTAGGGAAAAAATGGGCCTTAAAGTGCTCTAGTAATAGGCAATTTCGAGTTACCATGTGCCTCTGTTTCAAAACGAGTATTCGTGCAAAACAGTTTATATGAAAATAAGTTCGATTTGCATGAAAATGAACATGTGGGCGGAACATATTTCCATATGAATGGTTTGCATGAAGATTCATGGCCTGTTACCAGTAAAAAATTTAAGGTCAATCACTTAGACGTTCTCGGCTACAGAACCACAAGGGAAGTAGATTTACTCCTATTTAAGTTAACGCCCTGAACGAGATTTGCAAGTTACTAGAATTCTTACTATTCATCACTGACGAAACCCTCGACCCCATCTTTTCCTGCAGCGATACTCAATGATAAGGCAACAACGAGAGCAGGGAAACCTGCCGATAAAAATAAAACAACATCAACAACAACCAAAATAAAGAGAAAAAGCACAAAGCTACACAAACACAAAAAAGCAAGCTAAATGCTGTCTTATGGCCACGTCAATAATCGTTTATGTGGAAGCCTAATATAAAAAATCAGTCAAAGTGTTTACATGCAAGCAAGCCTGCATTGTAACCAGTGGTATATTATAATTCAAAGCATTTCTGAAACATTCCGACGAACGATGCAAGATAACCTAATAACCTACAGTGTTAGTTCAACAGTTTCAAATTGACCTATGGACAGTTTGTAAATGACACATTGCTAGGCTTACCCCATGACATTCCATGGCAAATCTTCAGTTTGTTGCTAACGTTGTAAACTTTAACAATAAACAAGTAAAGGTAGATTCCCTCGACGAGCATCCAACAGAAAGCGGCCATGAGGAAGTACTGCACAAGTGCTGCTACTGTGACACATGTTCCCTACAAGGTATAAGATAAGTTATCAATTAGAGGAAATAGTAAATGTAATGTAGGCTGTATCAGATGGAACTAACTTAAGGCTCTCTCTTGAGCGGAAAAAAGCATAGCTTGGGTGCAAGCACTGAAAAAGGCTATACCTTTCCATTTTCGGAAATTTATACCGAAATCTTTAGTCGAGTGGGAAGCGCCTTAGCACACATGATAGATACCATTGGTGATGGCCTACTGGTAAGCAGTCATCCCGGCCGCTGTATCGAATCAAAAACTCCGGGTCCAGGTCTAGACAGGATAAATTGAATTGGTACCGAAGAAATAGCAGGCCCTTTGAGGTTTAGAAGTATGGTTACTCATAGATGTTTTGCTCAAAAATAATAATAGTAATAAAAGAAATGTTGCTTAAACACGAGCTTCTTTGGGTACAGCTCTTGTGTTTCATCCGCGAGATGTGGCTCGGATTGGCAACTGAATCAGAAGTTTTACCTTGTTTTCAGTAGCACCAATTCCAGCAAGAAATATTATTTGTCCTGCACCAAGGGACGCCACAAGACTCACTCGGATCTGGGATAAAGGTCCTTTCATGTCTCTATTTACAAAGAAATCAATAATTAAACAAACGAAGTTTAAGTCAATGCTTTTACAATTTGCGACAGCTGTGTGTTAGTTACGGGGATGTACTAAATAGAGCTTTTGCAGATCCCGCATCATAACTTTGGAAGCGTGACTTTCAGCTTCATTTTGTAGCAGCGAGTCATATTAGTGATCTTGACTCCATTCTTAGCTCGAACAAGGACCTCGGCCCTGTTGGCGCTTTCGCCAACTGAAAATAGTGGGCGCCGGAAGCAGCTGTGTTCTTCAAGATTATCCAGAGGCCACTGAAATATACTTACGTGAGAAAAACGTAGCCGAGAATTGTCAGGCTGATTCCAATCAAAGAAAGCGTCAGACCCAGGTATGTGAGGATTTCCAGGGCTTTCTTATCTGTCTGCGTAATATAAACACGAAAAAGGAAAAGGATGCATGCACATAGTCAAGTATCATTAAAACGTTCCTAGAAATCATGCCCTTTAAAGTTCGGCCAAATTTAAATAAGTACCACGACTTTATAAGCTGATAAATAGAAAATCAGGAATGGAAAGTTAACCAGCTAATGTTTTGTTCATCTTCGAAACACCCTTGAAGAAGAATAAAGAATAGCCTTTTGTGGGGAGGAAAAGATAGAAAAATGTTTCTCATTTTGGTCTAAGGAACATTTTGGTATTGAATTAGATGATAGCTAAATTACCCCGTGTCTTAAGTATTTTCCATGCAATTGAATTTGTTAAACCAAAAAAGGATGATGACTGAGAAAGTTAATTCCCCTTATAAGCCTTACTCCAAAGGTAATCCTTCTAAAGTTAGTTATTTTTAGAGACACGAACCCAGTCCCTACGTGGGCAATGTTACCGAGCGTGTTGAGTGGATGTTTTCGTGGAAGATGAGCATGCGTGTAAAGCCGCATGGGCTGTCCACGTAAACAAAACCTGCGCCATAGGGTTGGCTATTTCTAGACTCTCCTGGGATTTCTAACCAGGATTGATCTAAAAAAGGGGTTATTATAGGTGTATGATGGATTACATCTACCAATGTTGATCCTCTCTTATTTAAACGGATGTGCGAGTAACAAATCAATGGTTTGAACTGATAGTTACAAATTGGCTAATTTTTTAAGAAACTGTAGGCTTCGAAAGGAGGGAAAAGAAAGAGAATTGAGAGGCAAACAGTGGATCGTGGTTATTCTACCTCAGATATAGTGTCATCTTCAGACCCAGTATCAAACTGCATCAGAACAGCGAAATGAGTCAAATGACTACAGCTGCATTCTGTTTCTGCGTTATCCATCGACTTTACATGACATCCTTGTTCTGACCAACTTACGGGGCTGAGAAAATGACCAAAATGAACCCAGTTAATTGACTAAAATCCACTATACGCCAGAGTTACCAAACGCCATTATCGTGATATAATCACCTGTTAAACCAAGAGCTCTCCGGAATTCATATTTTTGTACATAGACTCCCCTCCCAAAAAGCATTCTTTGATTCAAAAAGAGTAATGGTGAGTCTAGATGTTACGTTATATGAAACCGTACCCTCACTTTTTTAGAATACAAAAAATACAAATAGAAAATAAGGATTTCATAGGTCAATACTAATCAAGGTCGATTCATGATTTTAAATAACTGTTTTGAAACTGATCTAAACTAACTAACTACGAACTCTTGAATTTGTTAGGGCTTTGTTTTTTCTCTTGATTGGGGTGCTAGTCATTCTCTAACACTCAGCTCCCCCCCCCCTCCATTAGCAAACATTTATATACCGTCACGGATGAAAGGAAATTTTTTTGAACGCAAATTTTCTTTGAATTTTCGCTATTGGTCCTTTTGGAAAAGTAAGTTACAGGGCGCGTCTGGAATGAGTTCCAACCTTAAGTCGAACGCTGTAAATGTCTTTTATACATACACGTAACACCGTATACCTAAATTTACCTGGTTTCTAACATGTTTAAAAACACGCAGTTTCTATTCAAAGTCGCATCCTGAAAACAAACAAAAATTGAAAGATGTAGACGCAAAAGTGAAACAATCGAAGAAACAACAACAGCAACTGCAAAACGACAACAACAACACCAACAACAGCAACAACAACAAACGTTTTCACAACCAATCCAAGACCGCTATAGTGTTTGGTTTATGAACATTTTGTTTTTGTTACCTCCAAGTTCCTGAAAGCCAAGGTTACATTTTCTTTCAGCGTCATTGGCCGAGGAGATATTGTTGCAGACATTATGATGGTGTTGAGATGTCTGTCGTGAAAAACAGCGAAAGCCTTTATTAGAGGCAAATCGTAGTCGTAACTATGGTTATCGGAACATTTAACAAATCGACGTCAGTTTTTCATGCGTCTGTCCTCTTTCGTCACTGCTTTGACAATGTTATTACGAAATTCATTGTCAATAACAGGACAAACGCGTGAAAAACTGACGTCAATTTGCTTTTAACGATGACAAATTGTCAAATTGTCCGCTCTCGTTCTTTGACGCATCGCATAAATTATAAATTCATGTGTCTGTCCGCTTATTGACAATGAAAATTAGCCAATGAGCGCGCGAGAACTTCTGCAGTTATGATAAAAAATAATTGATTTCTTGCGCCATGATAAATGTGGGCCCTTTTAATGCTAATGATCCTGATTATATACTCGGCCTCTGTGATTTCAAAGAATAAAAGCTATTGCCGACCTACATGTCTACTCCACGGCAAAATAAAACACAAAGAAGACGAAGAAAATTGAAATCTTGGATTTGTAATATGCTTACAATGAACTACTCTTTCCAAGTAATGGGTGTCCTTCAGCTAATTAAATACGGAGGAATGCGCCTTTTTCCCCTTTGAGATAGTTAGGTAAACTGGGAATCATTCTCAGGAGCAGAGTTTCTAGAAGTAATAGTTTTTAAAAAAGCAAAAATCTGTTAAGTAACGCTGAGCTACCAAGGCGCTATATACACGGTAATGCAGTTTGCAAACTTTCACACTCAGACCGTACCATATTTAATTCCTGAACCAGAAAACCTTATGATATTCGCACGTCCAAAACATAAATATTAGTTAAAACATAAAACCCCTTTTTGTTTTTCATACGAACCTGGTTCTGTTTTCGTACTGGGTGTCAGAGTGTTTTGTGAGAAAGATTTGATGAAGATCTTTGTACATCACCCCCAGCACCACTGAACCTATGAATTAGCGATGAGAAATAAGACTGTCTGTACTCTTTAGTAATATAGGGGGCAATAAGATAGATGTAAATGACATAATAAAATAACATTTGAGCACTTTGCAGAAAAAAAAAAGGAAAAGTAGGAACATATGTTATGGCGTCGTCACGGCAAATAATAGTTCCTCCACATGGATTGGTAAGAATAAAGAATTAAGAATAAAATGTGTAACAAAAGTGACAAAAAGCCACGTTTTGTACAGAGTGAATTTAGTCCTTCTCAGAACCGCCTCCTTGTTGTCTCTAAAGAGGTTTCTAACTTCCCATGTGCTTAGGTGATAACTCTACACTGGTTTGTGAGGATCTGCATGAAAGTGCTGGAAACTCAGTTACCGTTAAAATTTTCGCCGGTTTTGTTAGTTCCATCAGCTACAATTCAGCCTACTGATTTCTTCGGCCCCTTCCAATCAATTTTGCATATCTCAGATCTCAGCTATGAGTTAAAGGAGCTCAGTCACAGTTTGCACATTTTGAAGAGTTAAGCCTAAATTTTTCAAATTTGTCGTTTGCAATCCGTGTCAATCTTCGCCATCCTTGACCATCCTTGTTCCTTTATGGTTTATTATTATCTCTTTGATGTTTTTCTATCTTAGCAAACTATTATTTCCAGGTTTCCTTCCATCTATAGGAGATTTTGTACGTGGCCCAAAAAAGGACAAAACACCGTGACTGGGCTCCTTTAAAAACGCGTCATTTCTCCGCTAACAGAGCTATCAGTACAGTTAAACCCCATTCAGATCCTCTTTCGTCTTTTCTTTGCTACCTATATACGTATATTATCTTTATGGGTTTAAATCACTAAATAAATGTAATATCATTCAAACCGTTGTGGAAGTTTTCTGCAGGAATTCGAACAAAGTTCTGTCCTTTTGTTTCTTGGAGATGAAATTGGCTCTCATTTTGATAGGAAATTCTCCTGAGTTGCAAATCTAAATGAAAAAAATAACAAAAAATGCAAATGGTAAGTCAAGACAGGACTGTGTACACGCAATTCAGTTTTCGTAACAACAACCTCACCCTTGGTTGGATGCCGAGTCCAAACTTGACTACAACAAGCTACTTAATATATAGATTTAGGCCAACCTAAAAGCGTAGCTCCTGGGCCAGGTTGTTCAAAACCCGATTAAGCTAACCCAGAAAAGAGTAGAATTTTGATTTGAGTTTTGTAACTTTGCGGTGAGGTTTTCTGTTTGTTGTTTGGCCTTCTGTTTTGAGTTTTAATAATCACCACATACACAGTACAAAACAGCAAAAAACATTTGTATGGAAGAAAAAGTTATAATTCGGTTAACTTTTAATGCTGGGTTAGCGTTAACCGGCTTCCGAACAATCCTGCCCTGTTTCCAACAAGTTAACCTAATACGAGCCCGCGATCCAATCGATAACCAGCACTTAGTCAGCGGTCAACTTCAAAAAACACGTGACCTCGAGGAGCTGTAAACTTGAGCCCGCGATATGGTCACGTGATGCTGGTCAGCGGATACCTTGTTTTGACAGGTATCAATTGATCATAACACAGATGTCCAATATCAAGGAAGTACACGGCAAACCAAGGCTGCATGTCTCTGCCAACCTATTATTTGGAGTATGGCCGGCATGTTGGGCAACCCCGCCGTCGTCGTCGTTGTGCGTACGCGCCCACGAGCAATACCGCTAGCCATGATAACTATGAGAAAATCAACTCATGGGTTTCCTTTTCTTTCCTACATGAGTATGGGGCTCCGCTTGGCGGCCCTTCGGGCCGCCGGAGCTCCGCTACTAGTAAAAGATAGAAACGATAAATGGAGGCCGCATGGCCTAATCATGTTAGGGCGCTGGATTTGTTCCTGATGCAAATCCTCCTCCCTACCTCAAGATGACTTGTGTTCGATGGTCCCAAAATCAACTCCTTCACGTCTTGTAAAGGGCCAACTAGTCAGGCTACAGGCTAACAAGTTATATTAATTCTATTTACAATATTTGTTTCCTTCTTTAAAGTGTCCCCGTATGGACAGGAGTGCTAAAAACTACTCGACCATAAAGTGATTTATCTGTTTTCATTTATAGATGAAGATAATAGTTGGCAGGGTTAAAACCATCTCAATTGGAAGCGGACACAATTATTCTTACTCACCAACATGTTTGCTGTTGAGCTCGATCTGAGGTGTTGTGTGATTAAGGTGATACTGAGCAAACTCTAACATGAATTGCTCCAATGCAATGGATGCGAGATAAACCTCTCTCATCTTTTCTTGCTGGGTCATGTTTCTACCTGCACTGAATGATTCGTTTAAATACTGCTGGATCCGAGCATCAAAAAGTCCTACTGCACCCTAAAAAAAAGATCAATTATACCTTCATTTTGGGGACAAGAAAAATTGTGTCACAAATTTCGTTCTCACTCTTAAAGTTTAAGGAAGGAAATCAGCAACCGCAACCGTGTTTGTTTGTTTGTTTCGGTCTAGAAGATACATTAAACAATCGAGTCAGTGTTTCACGACATTTCCAAACACCTAGAAGTTCCTCGAAATATTCTGCTACCCGCCGTTTTTGATCTCCCTTCCCGGCGTTTGGAAATGTAGTAAAACATGGTCTCTCGTGTATATGTCGTTCTAATGAAGCTTTTAGGCAGGCACCGCGAAAATCCAGCGGTGAGTAATAGTGGAATGACTGTTTAAACTTCACACATTACCTGCCCAGAGTCTCTCTGTTGAACGGATTTCATCATCTGCGAAACAAAAACGCACTTTCTGTTATAATCCCGCTATTAGTATAGGTAATCACACGGTTTCGAGTTCAATTTGGAATTAATTTGCACGAGTGAGTTTTTCAAAANCAAGTGCAAATTAACTCCAAATTGAACGAGAAAAACCGTATGATTACTTATTAATAATATAAACATGAAAAAATTCGCGCGGAGGAAGTGCCGGAAGGTCTTTCTTGAAGCCATTTTTTCTCATTTGAGAAAACTTTTTCCAACGTTTCAGCACAAATTTTCATCATCATCATTTCATCATCATATCATTTTCTTAGAAAAGTTCCTATTGTCTTTCAGTCAATCATAATCTAGAATTTCGATTTGTAATTTGCACTGGTGTTACACTTTTTGCACTGGTGTTACACTTGAACTGCACTGCTCATAGCCAATAAGAATCGAGTAATTTTTTCATGTGTATAATTAAGTGAGGTATACTATAAAATGCATACAAAATAATACCTCTGTTAGCAAGTCGTCTTCGTCGTCATCAAATTTATTATCAATTTCCGGTAAGCTTTCTATGGGTGGAAGACAAAATTAGCAGCACAATCTACACCGAATATAACTCTAATATAAATTACATATCAAATAGGTTTATACAAACCATTTTCCCTGTTTCCCGATCCGTTTTTATGTTCAGTTATGTTGATGGTATAAATTTTATCATAGCCGTTCCACCACCATCCTTTGTGGCTTTTTATTTCACACAAATTTACGTCAATCCAAAGGGGCGATAGGCCGTTTCTTCCAGTAGCAGTGGTAATGCCGAAGTGGTGATACTTTTTAAACTTCCAGTTGCAAGGATACAAGTGCCATGTCCAAGTTTGGCGAAGACATGAAGCGAGGTATGAGCACCATGATATTCGACAGCTTTGGAACCTTTGGTAATAACGAATCTGACATTCCAATGTAAACAGACTTTTAACAACGATGTTGTTGCGAACAAGTTGCCGGCAATGTCGTGCGTTGGTATCCAGCCTCTCATGGGAGGAACACTGGTCACCTGTACATTATAAAAGAAAAGGGACATCAAATGTTCCGAAATTCTGTATATCGATATGCGGAATATACAGCCGCCTTTCAAGGCTTAACCCGGCTAAGAGCAAATAATAGTCGGTTGTATTTGCAGGTTAGACACACCTCTTAATTAGAAAGTATTTTGTTTTTAAGTTTGACCTAGCATACAACATGAAAATAGCGATGGACCGCAGCCAGGATGAATCACAATGAAAAAATAAAAAGGGTTTCTGGCTGAAAACATTTTTAAAAACACAAGCTTTTCACTGCCTTAACTGCAGTCTTAAATGGGTGAAATGATAAAAGAGGCGTCGAAAATTTCAGAAGTTAATATAGTGTTAGTGTAATACTGAATAAAATAGTGTAGTATGGAAATATGCTAAGAAATTTTTTCTAAAAGACAAGAGTTATGGTCCGCAGTTGTCATTGTGTGGTAAGGTTCCAAGAAATTTCTAATGTGCTAATTGTCTTTGTAAATAATAGAAGAGTCATTTAAGTCAACGGTGGGCATCATGCCTGAATTGCAATTCTTTAACCCTTGAGGGCTTTCTTTTGTTTTACGCTCTTTTTTCCTTGTAGCGAAAGATGTCACCCTTTCAAAGATGTATTACAGTAATTTGCGCTCTAGTTTTCGGATAAATTCGTTTCGTTGAGTCTCGATAAATTTCATTCATACGACTTTTGAGCAAGTCAGTAAGGGTGGTCATCATCTATTTGGATGGTGGAGGCTTTCAAATTTGCTTTGAGCTAACCCACCTTTAACTGTGTTTCCAAAGCTCTCAATGACTATAAAACAAACAGAATAAAAATATTAATTTTATGGCTAGAGCTAAGCGACGATATCTCGCATGGTCTGTTTGGACAATACCGGTTTGGGGGTTGCTGGATCCGAGCATCAAAAAGTCCTACTGCACCCTAAAAGAAAGATCAATTATACCTTCATTTCGGGGACACGAAAATTCGTGTTACAAATTTCATTCTCACTCTTAAGATTTAAGGAAGAAAATCAGCAACCGCCACCGTGTTTGTTTGTTTGCTTTTTTTTTTACGATTTTACCGGCCTCTCCGTTTTTCATTAATGTAAGTTTTGATCTAGAAAATACATTAAACAATCGAGACAGTGTTTCATCACATTTCCAAGCACCACGAAGTTCCTCGAAATATTCTGCTACGCGCCGTTTTTGATCTCTCTTCTCGGTGTTTGGAAATGTTGGAAAGCATGGTCTCTCGTGTATATGTCGTTCTAATGAAGCTTTTAGGCAGGCACACATTACCTGCCCAGAGTCTCTCTGTTGAACGGTTTTCATCATCTGCGAAACAAAAACGCGCTTTCTGTTATAATCCCGTTATTAAGGAGGTATACTATAAAATGAATACAAATAATACCTCTGTCAGCAAGTCGTCTCCATCGTCATCAAATTCATTATCAATTTCCAGTGAGCTTTCTATGGGTGGAAGACAAAATCAGCAGCACAATTTACACCCAATATAACTTAAATATAAATCATATTACACATAAAATAAGTTTACACAAACCATTTCTGATGTTTGCCGATCCGCTTTTATGTTCGGTTATGTTGATGGTAAAAATTTTATCATAGGGACGGTTCCTTGAAGGTTGATGGGGAATTGTTTTGCACAAGTTTACATCAATTCTTAGAAGCGGCAGGTCTTTTCTTCCAGCGAGGGTAGTGATGTCGAAATGTTCATAATACTTAAACTTCAATCTGCAATGATTCCACCAATTCCAATTTTGGTGGCGACATGAAGCGAGGTATTGGCACCATGATCGACATAAACTACAATACCGATGCAAACGGTGCTGATTGCGGACACGGTACCGATTGCGGACACGGTACCGATAATAACGAATATTGAATTTCAATGTAAAGCAACGGTCCACAGCACCGCTGTTGATAAGAAGTCGCTGACAATTTCCTATGATTGTGTCCAACGTCTCATAAGAGGAACACTGGTCACCTGTATATTGGGAAACGAAAAAGACGTCCAGTTTCTGTATACAGATAGTCTGAAAATGCAGCAACCTCTCATTTGTAGCCACCTCTAACCCTAAGTTGTTTTGATCTCACGTTCTTAACTAACGTAAAAATCGAACATCATGATGGCCTAATGCAACAAAAGCACATTTTATACTTGCAACATACCATGCAAAACTGCAATAAACAAGAATTTTTAAACACTTTTAAGAACGATTATACACCTTCCTCTTATTTAGGCCTAACAAGCAAGCTAAGCGAAAGAAAAGAACCAGTGAAACTTGGATGGGGAATCACAAACTAAGGACTGAAACTGGTAGATATGATCAAATTCCAAGGGTTAACAGGCTCTGCCCTATCTGTGAATCCAGTCAAATTGAAGATGAATCTCACCTTCTGATGTATTGCATTAAGTACGTTATTCTAAGAGATGAATTTTATAGAAAAATAGAAAATATTGTTCCGAATTTTAAGCAATTATCTCCATTCCGAGCCACCGGCGAACTTATGAATTCCAAAAATCAATCTTCAATTAGCAAAATTCATTCCAACTTGCCTTGTTCTACGAAATATTCTTCTTTCAAATCAAACCGATGTAACTTGAATACTGTATTATAACATTGTTCACGCTAATCATTGCTGTTTTAGTTTACAAAAACTTTTGCAACATTGAAAGAATGTGTGGTCCCGCAAATAAAGCTAGTTGTTGTTACTTTTCAGCTGGCTGGGCGCAATTTGAGGCGCAGGTTAGACATATACCGTTCAGTTAGAAAGTGCCTTGTTTTTAAGTTTGATATAGTAGTTACGGTAGTTAATTTGGCTCTACATTTCGATAAATTTGTTGGTAAGTTAAATGCAGATGAATTTTACAATGAGAGATCCTAAAGAAGCTTTTAGAGAGATGTGGCCTGCAGGCAGATTCCTTGAGCCTCGGTAACTTTCATTTTTACAACTTTTGAACAATTGAGATAATGACGGTGCTTATCACCTATGTGGATGGTGGAAGCGTTGAAATTTGCTTTGCTCTTTTATTGGGAAAGGGACCCACCTTTAACTGTGTTTCCAAAGCTCTCAAAGACTACAAAACAAACAGAAAATAAATGTTAATTTATGGCTAGAGCCGTGTAGAGCTAAGTGACAATATAACGTGTGCTCCGTTTGTATCATAGCCGGGGTCGCATTTCTTTCTTCAAAAAACCTACGGGTATTTAAAACGTTGTTAATGGCCAGCTGGCTGACGAAAAATTGAATCGTCTTTAATGGCAACAAGATGTATATGATATAATGAACCAAAATTCCACGAGCGCGCGTTGGCTATAACCATCTCATATCCAACAAGCGTGAGAAGAACAATTGTTTTATTAAAAGCGCTCACAAAACATAGAAAACTAAAATTAAATAAAAATATTAATAAAAACGCCCCAAAACAATACGCGTACCATAGTTGTCAAACATGGTATAAATACTGGTTCATATATCATGATGGCCACGCCAATGAAAACTCTTGAATTGCATAACTCGATGATCCAGTTTTCAATAACTGTTATTAACTATCACTAGCACGAATATCGTCGGTCTTTCTGGTATGGACCGAGTGAAACAAGGTTCGAACCAAAAACTCCTCGGACGATATTCATCCGGTACAGTCCTCTCGCTCCGTTAATAAGAAGTAAATAATAACGTTATGAAAACGCTATATATTAGTCCACCGTTATATAGTTCAGACATCTGTGAATCGTCACTACGTGTGCAAATACATGTGCAGATGGAAGATAAAGTAATATACGAAGAAAACGAAAAACCCCGATATTGGGGCATGACTTCAGTCAAAAACGAAACAAAAGAGGGAGAGAGGGAAGGCGAGTAATATAAGAATCTTTAGACGAATTCGTTGACGTTCCTTAATGCTGCGTTATACCTTGAAAGAGAAACACGCTAAAGAACCCAAAAAGCAAAGAAAAAACAAAGCAAAAGGAAGAGGAATGAAAAAGCCAATAAACAACAACAAAATAAGACAAACCGCAAGGTTCGGAACGAAGTTTAATTCTATGGTGTGCATGATTCCAACTGTTCTTAATAAATTAGGGCGCGCAAAGCGGTCATCGACTAAAACTTAACTGTCCATGAGAAGAAACAAACCAATATTGGTTTTGTCTGACTTGCTTTGTAAATTAAACGGATGTTAGCTAGAGATCAAAGTTGTCAGAGGACGAGAAGGAAAAACTGATTGCGCGTGCATATCGGTCATGGCTTGTATAGCAACGCAACCTTTCGAAACTTGTTTGCTGACAACGAAACCTTCACAGGGCCGAAACTATTCGGTCAATTTAAATTAGCATTTCAGCAAATTCTTTGGATCTCTTCAGGATTCAGAAAGCGGCCCTCACACCTTAAGCAAAGGCTAGAGAAAAAAACTTAAATACCCCCTTTCCCAAATTGCGTTCTTGGTTCCCTTGAGACCAGAAAAACAATACATGAAGCGAAGATGAATTAGCTAAATGGAATATATTAAAGTCTCCATTAGCCTTGAATTGCATTAAATTAAAAGAGGCTGACTTACATAAAGCTAGTTAATGAAAAAAAGAAAATAAAGTAAAAGAATTAAAGAAGAAAAACGCTAATAATCGATACTTGATCAGTATTTTGGAAGTTAGACTTCTAAAATGTTGATGATAAGACTCAATGCAATTGCGTAAGTAGCTCGATTGAAAACTTTAATTTAAAAAATTTGCATGTTCTTTATACGAATGTAAATACTACTTAATTGCGCCTTCAATTGCACGGTAAGTTACGAGCCGTCTGTCATTCATCATGTATTAGTTAAAAGGTGTGCGATTCGGTCACAATTAGAAGAAAAAAAACACGTAGAGATAAATTTTGAAAGATTTGCTAAACGGGTGACTGAGGTTTAACGCATTGAATAGCTAAATTAAAAATGGCTTCAGAAATTCTTCATTGCATTTCTGTTGTAAATTCATTATAAATTCTATTTGGTTGTATTTTTCAAAGAACAGTGCTACTCCATTGCTTATTTGCAAAGATAAAATCCAATTGCCCTGGAGTGGACCGTCAGAGAAATATTAAGAACATTACTAGCTTCTTATCAGCTACAATATTCTTCAATGATTTACTAGAAAACATTATCTTATAAATTATGAACTAATTTACAGCCGTGGGGACTGACTTTGTTAAGGACAGATGAAGAGAGATCCCGAACGGGGAGAAATATGGATGATTGTTTACCTAATCCATCGTTGCAATAAGAGAACTGACCTGAAATTAAAATAAATTTGCTTCATACTCACCCAAAAAAAGTCCAAAAACAACTGCTCCGCGGGACATTTAAGAAGCCTTCCTTTTTAGCTGGAGAAAGCTAACCACGAACACTGTTACGTCAAAACTATTTTGCACAGACAAATGATATAACCGCAATAGATTTTAGCAGGGGTGAAATATTTACGGATCAAATGCCCGTTGGTGGCGCAAAACTCGATCCTTTTAGTGTTAAAAGCCTGCTTCCGAGTCGCGTCGATGACTAACTGCAGGTGATGATTCTCCGGCATACATTTTCCATGCCTACTAAAAAGGCAATTAAATAATTGTCATGTCACGTCATTGTATTGACTTAACGTCTTCAATGGGACAGTGTCATGGAAACCATGTCTGCAGGTGGCAGCGCAATATCTATCACACAGCTACTTTCATTTCAAAGTCATATTTTTAGGAAATCCTTATATCACGTTACGTTTTTTGTTTAGTATAAGTAGTATTTGTGGCATAACTTATAGGTCCTTTTGTTCGGTGATACTGATTGTCTTATTCAGTGCAAACAACAAATGATTAATAACAAAAAATATATAAGAAGATGGATATTTATTTATCTTTAATTTGGTCAAAATTTGCGTGGATTATACGTGCAATGTAGGTTATCTATTTTTCTTTTCATCAGTTTAGGCAATTGACTGCATGGTTTCTTCTGTGGACGATACACCGCTTCGAATTTAATTAGAAAAGACCCTCAGAGAAAGCGCGCGGTAAAAGCCCTTGTTTAAAAATAACTAAAAATCTAAGTTACAATATTTAGAGAGAAAACCAGTCCAGGCTTAGCTAGTTTTCATGCGGGCCCTCTGGTCGAGTTGGAATTTGGGACAGGGTTTTCGTTTTTGTGGAGGGAGGAAAACCGGAGTACACGACTAAAAACCTTAGGGGCAAAGCGAGAACCAACAACCTACTCAACCCTCATATGGCACCGGGCCGGAATCGAGTTTTGACGCTGTCTTACAGATTCTGTGTAGCTATCTCTGACAGTGATAGACAAATTGAATGAATCTAAATTCTTGCGAGATTCGTAGGCTGAATATAAAGTCGTTTTTATTCCAGGTTGTTCTTGGCGTTGTTGCTTAAACTCCCTTTTGTTGTTTGAGTGGCGTGCTTTCGACCATCCGTTTGTTCGGTTGCGTTGTGTTTGGGCGTTCGCTTGCTTTGCACTCGCTTGGCTACTTATTTCTCTTTTGTTTATTCAGTTTTTTTTTATTGTTTGGATGGCGGAAATCTCTGTCTAATTTAAATTCCTATTAAAAGTTTCGTAATGCGTTAAAACATAGCGAGGGCCGAAACTCTTTTCCTTTCTAACGAGTGGGTAGCAGCAGCCGGAAAGAGTTATAGAAAAAATTCACTCGCTGGGTCAGCATTAGTCAGTCAGTCAGTCAGTTAATCAGTCAGTCAGTCAGTCAGTCAGTCGGTCAGTCAGTCAGTCAGTCGTTAGGCCGTAAACAATTTTTGGTGGTAATTCCGCTGACCAGGGGATTTCGTGAGAGCTAGGGCCTACCATTGTCATCTTTTGCGTTTAGAGCCGAACAAGTGTTCCCAAATTAAGATGGATGGATGGATGGATGGATAGTTGGTGCCAATTTCCTCCCTTGCAGCCAGAGGCTAAATTGCGGAGGAACAGAGAGGTGAGATCGGACGCCAGCATATGAAGGCGCACTTTGCAGCCACTTCAGTCCATGTATGATCTCACCTTACCCACCCCAGACCAATGACCAGCACAAGTCAGATAGACCATGACACCGGCTTCTACGTCCCCTACTCTTTTCGAACAGTGTCATGCGTTCTTTGACGTCCCACAAGAACCAGATCAGTGAAGTGCTGTGAGACGGGGCTTACGGTTCATCGTCCTTATCCGTGAAGACTTGAATGTCTAACCATTTGTAGATGTAATTACAAAGGCAGCACATTCTCCTCAGTTATTTTAAGACCCTGAGTGTTGGTCCGGTCTGGGGCTCGAACCTTCGACCTCCCGCACAGCAGTCCGGCGCTTTCCCAATTGAGCCAACCGGGCGGCGGTTAAAAGATTATTTGGTATATAAAGGTGGTACACCAATTGCATAGTAACATTGTCTGCAGGAGAGCTGATTGCCCTGAGCATAAGGCCTACACGGGGGATTAACTTTCTCACCCTTAATACTCCAACAGCAGCTAACAACAGCCGAGACTGGGTTACTTACGTATTAACATGAAATATGAAGATTTAGCCAAGCCTAAAACCGGAGCTCCCCAGTTATTTTTTGGAATGCTGTTACTAGTGGAAATAATCCAACGTGTATGCGAGGTAAATTGCGAACGATTTAATAGTTTCAGCCGGAATTAGGATAAAATCAGCAGATCGAGGTGTAAGATCGTGTGATGATGGAAATAGAGCCATGATTTCAAGGATTTCTGGGAAGCCACCAAAAATCTTGATCACTTAACAGAACTCTCTTCTGTGCTTTTTGGTGGCATTTCTTGTCCTTTGGTCCTCTGGATCAAGCGTCCCGGATGCAATCTCTGGTCAGGGACATTGTGTTGTGTCCTTGGGCAAGACACTTCTACACTGGTGTACAAACGAGTACCGGCGAACATAATGTTGCATGAGGCTAACCCTGCAGTGGACAAGCATCGCAACCAGGGGAGGGTAAAAATACTCCTAGTCGCTATATGCTACAGAAACTTACCTGACAGAAACTGGAGATAAGTGACGGCCTGATGGGCCACTTGCTATGTATGCAGACTTCAACTTATATACTGGGAAGCGATTTCGTATCTGAAAGATTTTCTGGTGCGTCAGAACATCAGACTATACAGATATAAAATAACTGAAAACCAGGAGCCATAATCGGGGACGGACACCGTAAGTCTCGGGATTCGCGCGCACCTATGATATGGGACAATTTTTCTATTTTTAGAACAAATTGCGTCATCCTGACGTCATATATCCGCGCGGA